ACATATACATACATACATACACACACACACATACACATATATACACATATATATATACTAATTAAAATTATATTTATTTTATTATTTTCTATAAGTGGATGAATATGGAAGGAAAAACTAGTCAAAACATTGAAACAAAATACAATTGGATATTAAATCTGAAGCAGTTGCCCTAAAACGTTAACTGAAGCAGCTCTGTGTTTTAGCCCCTGTGAGATAGATCCCTTGCCAAAAGTTATGAAGCACTGACTCGGAGAATTTATTCTCAGGTTTCCAGCTTTCAAAGTCATTGCTAGTGGGAATTTCAAACTGAAATCACAGGCACAGAATTGCAAAGGCTGCAATATGGGCATGTGTTAGTTTCCGTAAAAGTGGTGCCAATCAGAATAGACTGGCAGACATGTTTCCCTGAGGGCCAAAAATAATGTGAGGAAAATAGTTACTATGATGGGAGTCTCTGCAATTTTTAACATCACAAAAAAGTTTGTACTGATGTTTTAAAATCACAGAATGTAGTGTAAGACCAGGGCTTGAAAGACAAAAATAACCTACCCAGGTACATTTACTGATACTTTCCTAAAAAGTTTTCTTAAGTTACATTATGGAGTGAAAGTTAATTTAAATCAAATGTAGAATGTTTATAGAGTTTCATTTAGCTTTGTAGACAACTATTCTTATATTAATAATAATGGATGGTAAAAAGCATAGTTTACATTGTGATATCTACCTCAACTGGTAAGGCTGTAGCAGCAAAACCCCTAAGAGTGTGGATGGGGTTTCAAATTCAGCCACAGTGTGCCCCTCACAACGTGCATTGCGTTTGTTGGTAAATGTGTGTAAGGATGTATTCTAAAGCTCCTTGCCTGGTAGAAACAGGCAAGCTTTAAAGTATATTTGTTGTGTGTTACGTTTCTAGTGGAGGCTAGCTTGTATAATTCCTTAGAAATTTATGCTTACCACTCGATTTCTCCAAAATGCTGATGAAAACAAATACATCAAGCCAAAAAAAGTTGGTGCAAGTATAACAGATGACCTTTCTAGGTTTCCATTTAATTTGATTTACTGTATTATTTTGTAGGAGGTGTCACACTAAATAATGGCCACTTATTGATTTGTGTTGAGTTGCACACCTTCGGTGTTTAAGGGGGAGGATAAGCAGAGCTGCAGCCATAGTTTACAGGAGGCATATTCACATAAAAAAAAGTGCCACACTGATTCACTGCTAATATATACCCAATTCTACACTCTTGATACAGTCATTTACCATGGCAACCTTACAGCATGTCATGGAAACCTGACATAATCACTACATATCATGCGCCAAAAAATGTGGAGCATGAGACTGAGAAAGCTGATGTGTTACTATGGCAACATCGTTTGGATGAACATTTCAGTGGCAGCTGGTATGACAGTCTAACTTTCTAGGGTTCTTGTTTTTTTTCTTCTCAACAAATGAAATTGTTGAGAAGAAGGCAGGACTTGTGCCTTAAATGACAGGAGACCTTGGCTGTATCCTACTGCCCACTCACTGGTCTGTAAGAGAGACTAAATTACTGAGAGACTAGTCAAAGAGACTACTTCATGTTGAACATTTTTCTTCTAATACTCCCTCTAAGCAATGCCTCTTGGCTCCTATTAATTCATATATTTTAATTTACTTCTACAGTCCTAAAACTACAACTGCTCCTGTCTTCTCTACACAGGAGCCACAGTATTACTAATCAAGCATTGTGTATGGAAGATTTAAAATGCCCAAACTAAAACAAATCAAACAAAGAAATAAAGTGACATATAATATACAGTATTATATCTATTTCATTTTTCTATATGTAATGTGCCATAATTCAATGAAAAACATGCTAAAAGGACAGTGAATAATCTTTTTTTTATTTTTTCATGCCAAATCAAATCACAAATAGTGATAGTGAAAAAAAGTGAATAGGTGTTTTGCATTACAGTGTTGTCCAGCAGAGAGCAGCATTTCAAGACTAAAGCCAAAACAATTTCATTAATTTTCATGAGGAGGTACAAGTGAGCTTTTTCTTTGTTAAAATGGAGTAGCAACATTGATGCCAAAATGAAAATCAATCAAGTGTCCAATCACAGCTTGGGTTTAAGAGCTGATAGACTCATTCAAGATGAGCCAG